TCTCGACCGGGCTCTGGGTTCCTGGGACCCTGGAGTCCTAGAATTCCCAAGCCTACTTCCACAGCCTGTGTGGGCTTCTTCCCCTGGTCTTCATACACGTCGAAGGAATTTGACTGGCATGTCCATCGCCTCTGCGTGGTGGCACAGAGCCTGGGCTGGGAAAAGAAGTGATGGGCTAGGGCTGGGAGCCTGGACTGAGCTTGCTTCATTCTGCTCTGTCCTATTAGAGAGCTCTGAGGTCTGAGAAGTCTAAATTCCCACCTGGCCTTCCAGGTCTCATTATATGTTTGTCAAGCTAGGAAGATAGAACATGTTGTATTGAACCATTTCTTAGCTTGACTAATTCGTTTTAAGTACTTAGATACTTGGTGCGTGGACCTCTCTTTTATCTTGCCCCAGCCCCCCAGATTTTAGGAGAGGGGCTGCTCTAGTTCATTCGGATGTATAGCTTTCTTTTGTAGGAATGTACACAATTTACATGATCAGTTTCCACATTATTAAAATATAGATCGTTTTCAATTTCTTGCTATAACAAACTGTGATGCGTTGAACATTTTGATATGTCTTTCCTTGTGTACATGTGCGAGAGTTCCCTAGGTATCTAGTAGTGAAATTCCCATACTTAAGTTTTATGCAATAATACCACATTGTTTCCAGCTGTGTACAAGTTTTATCCCAGCAGAAGACTCTGAGAGTTCCCTTGTTCAGTTGATATCATCAGCCTTTAAAATTTGTTGCAATACAAGGGATGTGCAATGTACCTTGTGGTGGTTTTAGTTCTTTATATATTCTGGTTCTGTAGCTCTTTTAAGTCACAGTGCTTGTTTTTCAAGTTTTTCTTAACTTGGCGTCTAATTCTTAGTAGCTGCTTATTTGCATTTTGCTTTTTTTGGTCATCTTAGCGCTGTGTTTAGTTTTTGTCCCTAACAGCCTTTATGTTTTAATTTCTTACCATTGTAAAGTGTATACAGTTCAATGCAATAGGACATTCATGATGTTGTGCAATGCTCTCCACGGTCTAGTTCAGGAACATTTCCATCTCCCCAGAAAGGAGCCCATGCCCATCAGCAGTCACCCCTCTCCCCTGCCCACGGTAACCTCTGACCTGCGGTCTGCCTGCAGACTTGCCTATTCTGAAGGTTTCCTTTCAATGGAATCTTACAAGATCTGTTGTATTTTGTCTGGCCTCTTTCACTTAGCACAGTGTTTTCAAGGTTTGCCTTTCACCTTTGCATGTCATTTGTCATTCGTGTGGGTGTATTTGCCCAGGTTTCGTTTTCCTGTAAGTTCCTTCTGTTGCTAAATGTGCTCAGCCCTTGAGTCATGTCGTCAGGCGGATGGCCTTGGAGACATGCTGTTTTCTGGGACATAATGGCACAAAGAGGTGTGTACCCCGTAAGAAACGTTTGGAAAATTTTGTTCTGTTTTGATTCGATTCGCATTTATTTTAATTTGATCGAATTTGACTGTCAGCCCTGGGCGGTGTGGCTCAGTGATTAGAGCGGCGGCCCATGTACGGAACGGACCCGTCACTAGAGGAAATTTTGATCCTGTATACTCCTATTATGTATATATTTATTTAATACAATGTATATAACTCTTTAATTTTCTACCTTTAAAGAAACTTTAAAATCAACCTTGTTGAGGTATGACTTACATACAATAAAATGTACCCACTTAAAGTTACAGTTGAAGAGTCTTAACAAATGGATACACCCGTGTACCCGCCATAATCAAGATAAAGAATATTTCAGTCAGTCCTGAAAGTTCTCTCGTGCCTCTTCTAAATTAACCAGTTAATTGCCTCCACCCCTCTCAACTCAGGCAATGATTTTTTTTTTTTTTTTACTCTTTTAGGTAGAAAATAGAGTTACAACATTTCCCCCCACACTCTGATGGATCAATCTTGGGAGCAGCTCTGTTAGAACATGCTGTATTTCTGAATCAGTGGGGGGAACTTAACTGAAATGCAGATCCCCAAGTCACATCAAAACTTCTGGTTCAGAAGCAGTTGGTTAGTTTTGTCCGTCCCCCTAAGGATTCCTTTGCAGAGAGGCTCAGGAACCACACCTTCAGGAATGAAATGTGGGGAGCACCTCCAGGCAGAGTGCCAAAGCAAGGTTTTATGTGGCTTTATTGCTTGGGGCAGGGAATAAAAGAGAAGTGGGTTCTCTGGGACAGAGCAAAGACAAAGAACTGTGTTCTCCAAGGTTAGGGTGACATACTCACTGCGTATCTGGAATAGAATCACAAGAGATAACAGGAAACCGTGGACGCTGTGTCGCAAACCGTAGACTATTCTAGAAGCTTCTGCCCCTTTCTCGCAAAAGGAATCCTCAAACACTGCTAAGCACTTACTATTTCTCTCTAGTTTATTTTACTGTTCTTAACTTCCTAGGGGATTTATGCTGGAAGTTTCGCCCGGGGAGAAGGGGCCTGTGGGAGGAGAGGAGCCTTGTCTGACCTACTTCTTATCTAGTCATCAAGATTTTGGCAATACTGCCGGGGCCGCCTCTTTACTCTGGTCACCGGCTGCGTGTTTTCTCTGTCCTGATACCGGTAGCACCCGACTCTTGCTGCTCATGGAATCACTTGCAAAATCTTTAAAACATACTGAGGCCTGGCTCCCACTCCCTAGACATTCTGATTTAATGGATACGAGGTATGACTTGGGCATTGGGATTTTTTTTTTACACTTTATTGTTGAAAATATTAGGGATTTCTTTTTAATCTTCACCTGAGGATATGTCTACTGATTTTAGAGAGAGGAAGGGAGAGAGACAGACAGACGACAGTGCGAGAGAGAAACGTGGGTCTCTTGCCTCCCATAGGCACCCCAACTGGGGATCGAACCCGAAACCTAGGTATGTGCCCTGACCAGGGATCGAACCTGCAGCCTTGGCGTATCAGGCCGACGCGCTAACCATCTGAACTCAACCCGACCAGGGCTGGGGTTTTTTCATGGACGACATTTTATTCTTCCGACCGGTATTCTCTAGATTTTATCTTTCACACATCCTGTTTCCTTTTTCACCAGGCTTATACCATGGTGAGCTATTTCCTGTTTTCTGTATAAATTAACTACCTCTTTGTTTTTTATCAACCCCCCTACCAGGTGTTGGGAAGCCTAGAGGCTGAGGGAGAGTAGGGAAGGGGTATTTGGATACAAATTACTGTCAAAAAGCAAGACTTGCCCGGCCAGGTGTGGCTCAGCGGTTGAGCATCGACCTAGGATCCAGGAGATCACCATTCGGTTCCTGGTCAGGGCACATGCCCGGGGTGTGGGCTTGATCCCCAGAAGGGGGTGTGCAGGAGGCAGCCAATCAATGACTCTCTCATCATTGATGTTTCTTCTCTCTTCCTTCCTCTCTCTGAAAGCAATAAAGACGTTTAAAAAACAAAAACAAGACCCTCCCTTGGGTTACCGTCCCCCCCCCCACTATCTTTCCTCCGCAGGTTGGGGTGTGGAGCCCAGAGCCCCCCACTGGGTTTACTGCTGCGAAGTGCAGCAGCTCAGAGGTGGCCACTGGTTCAGCAACCTCACTCAGAATCTAATCTGACCACATCCTGCCCTCCTCTCAAACTAAATGAGTCTCTGAGGGTGTGTGTGGCCCAGGCTTGGGGATTTCCAAACACTCCGGTCAACGTAAGAAACGTTCACACCTGTAGAGAACCTTTATGAGTTTTATTTGAGCCAAACTAACCACTATTGCCAGAAAGCAAAACCTCAACGGATTGAGAAAATGCTCCAGAGAATGGCAGTTTTGCACCTTACTTTCAATCAAAGGGGGAGGCGTAAGGAGGTGACGTGAAATCTGGGACTGGATAAAAAATAAAAGGAATGGACACATGCTTGTTTTACATAGGTGGGCATAGGATGGTCAACAGTTAACAATGAATGTAATAACAACGAGGGGACTTGTGGTCTCTGCTGTCCTGGGTGGTTGTGCTTAGAGGGGTTGGGGGGCGGGATTTCTTTGATATTCCAAAGATGTATTATCAGGTACTTTATCAAAGGTGCAAAAAAAAAGACCCCAGACCTACTCAGTTAAGGTCAAGATTGAAAAATACTGGCCTAGGATATGACTACCCACAGTTAACCTTTAGCTAGAAAGTTTTAATTTCAGACTGTCCTATGTGACTACTTTAGGCCTCTGAGTTTGTTGGCCACCACGAGCTCGTCAGGTGCAGCTTGTGGCCCCTTTTGACACCACTCCGCAGGCTGGGCCTCATCTGAGGTGGGGGAGGATGCTGCCAAGGTTCAATTACATTTTGTTCTGTGGCTGGAAGAGCAGAGCGAGGTCATTTGTGTTTAAGCTTTAGGCCTGAGATTCCTGAAAGAGACAGTTCTGCCTCTTTCAAGGCCACCTTTGCTGTTTTCAAAAGCGATCTTTTATCCCAACACCCGGTGTTTGAAGTTTATCTGCTCCAAGTGCAGGCCACGTCCTGGAGACGCTTGTTCTTCCCCCCCCCCCC